GGGTGTCTGCAAACGCATTTTGGTAAATCTCATCCCCTTATTTAAATTTAAAATTTATGAATCAAACCGTCTTTAACTTATGGAAAAAAAAACAAATCAACATAATCTTTTAGCAAGATACTTACATCGATCGTTAGCATGCATTTTTTTGAGTTTTCAATAAATAATATCTTATCCATTGTAACCTATAGTAAATTTCTTATTCTCAATAAATAGTTAGAATATAAAACAGGAAGTAATAATTTATTTTAATTATTTTTAAATTAAGATTACTGATTAAGTTAATTAATTGTATTTTTGCAGCGAAATTATTATGTATGTAGTCGTACTCTGAGTTGGCAGAATTGTATACTAATGACAACGGATAATTTTCCTGCGACAAATCTTCATATTAATTAAATAGTTTCGTCGGGCTTCTGCATTTGTTATTGATTACTTTATTTTACAGATATCCTCAAATTGTGATTCAGAGAACTCCTAAACTTTTAAGCTGGTTAAAAGATGTTAAGAATGGGGATTATTATTTCGATGAATGGATCCATTTGATGTTTTCTTTTAGCTTGCCAAATTTTTGTTATGTAGTCACAATAGAACTAAACAAGTGAAATCACAGCAGCGACGCTACCATGATTTCCCGGACATATGTAACAATAAATCACAGAAAAATTAACTGGGTTACATTTTGTTCGATATCTGCGGGTTACTGATAGTTCATGTTTTTTAACCAATCCATCTCACATGTTGTTCCGAACGATTTAGGACAAATCCAATTGTATAATATAATTATCCAATTTTCATGTCACAACTAGTGTAAAACCTTAGTTTGTTCATTATTATGGTTAATTAAATGTATTTAGAAGATTCGTTTCTCTAGCTTGAAATAAGGAAATTAAAATTCGACTGTAATGATACTTATTTATCTGAATATTTGACATGTAGTTACACATCTATTTTCCTTGACTACTTGAGCGTTAATAATGCGCTAGCGGTGTAACTTATCAAATTATTAACTATCGTAACCACACACACCTTATTCACCAATCCGAAAAATCCAATACTTACTCCCAACCTGTCAAAAGATCTAAATTGCTTACGTTCACATTTAGTACACAATTTTCCATTTATCCTTTCCCGGAACTTGTTTGCCTCCCTATTAACGAGGCATGCATACGGCAATACCGTCACCACGAAGGCATGACCTACCAAACTGGTTATCGGCATTATTGGATATAACGCTAGTGGAAGGATGGTGTGGAGCTTGATCGTCCCATAATTTGACAGAATAATGCTCCCCATTCCGAAACAGATAAGCGGAGGAACAACAAAGTTAGAATATTCTGAATTTATGTGACTGATCCATACTACGATTTCTCGATAGGTCTGCATAACTTTACCATATGTAGTTTGTATTCGAGCATATTGCAGCCGCTTTAAACTCCCTGGCACAGCGGTGAAGACGACGAAGGAAATAATAAGCACGAACCATGCACTCACAGAAAAAATGACACCAGATTGACACCAAGCTGGTGTCTATATGTGACTCTACCGGAATTGTGTCAAACCAACACAATCTGGTGTCAATTTCGTTCAACTCCATCGCGGTGTCTACGCTACATATTGTAGTGCTAATAGCAACATAGCAACGTAACATCAAGGTGTTCTCAGTTATGCTAAATCAACACCACTTTCTCTTGGTTTGTTACCAGTCGGTGAGAAACCTTTTCCGAATAATTGCACTTGTTTGACATAATTTGGCATTAGCAATAAATATATCGTTTATTTTACATTCAATGGCAATTAATTCATTAATATTTAACTTAACAGTAACTAAACTCGACAAAATTTGTAGGTATTTACATACAGCCGCAAAACCTGGAATTTTCTAGACAATTTAAAAATCAAAGGAGCACTAATTCTTGTTAAACAGCTACAATGCGATAATTGGTCAAGCATTTCAATTGGTTTTCACCCTTAGTAGTAGTGAAAGTTAACTCAGCAATTAATACGGGGCTTCACTGGACTCTTCTAAATTTGGCTTGGCGAATTTTTCCCTTGGTCGAGAACTTGCCTGTGTGGACGGATCCCCTTCAAATTCCAACGACTTCACCGATGACGAGATTGGGTCAATTCTGAGCGGTTCACTTCGTCGTAGTGGATGTCCTAAGACGAAAAGTGAGCAATTTTATAAACAATTACTATCTTAGCTCTCACAAATCTAAATAATAATTTTATTATACATACAATCCTGTTCTCCGATTCGGTATACTTCCAGCACGGTATGATCGAAATTGCTGCCAGCGCGAGTTATTTTTGATCTGCAGACTGCAGTTGAAGGCGATCAACTGATAAATAAGATAAATTGACCATGTTGAATTAATAGATAATTATTTTGTACATATTTTGTGTTATATTTTTAATTTAAACTTACCACTTTAGTTCGATTAGCTTGCCAACGAAGGGTCCAAGGTCGAGTTTTGTTTTCTTAACTGGAAAAATAAATAAAGTTCACAATTAAATTTTCGTTATAAAACTAATGCCACCTCATAAAATATATTTTTTTAAAAAGCTTCTATACAAAAGATAAAAATGTACCTGACTCAATAAATTCGAAATAGCCATCTCCGTTAAAAACAATTTTTCGTCGCAAAATATTAGATAAGCTGCGACGAAGAAAATAATAACGCGCAAAAGCCACGAAGGTATTTGAAGTTTCCCTCACTGCACAGTCCCAGGCTGGTATTAAATGAAACGTTTTCATTAACTACATCAACATCACACGGTGTCAATTTAACACAGTATTTGTAAATCTCAAAACCATTTTTTAAATATCTTTGTCACCCTATCGAGTGTCAACATTTAATCACAACAGTGTCATTTTTTGAAACGACTTTGACACGAAACATACAAATCATGTTGACACCGTCGGTTGGTGTCAACGAAATCCGGGTTTTTGTTACCAAGTTGCTAAGAGTGTGCAGATTTAACAACATCCTGCGCCACAACGAATGCGATGAGAAGTCTGGTCAACAGAATCGAATCGTACCGAAAAATATATAGTTTTCCGGTTTGGGAAAGACGTTGGAACATGGATCCAGTTCAAACATGATTATGACGCAAACCACAATAGGAGAAATTGTGTACACAAGTTTTAGAGATATGATGATGCCCACTTCCAATATTGGATTGTCAGAGGATCGCGCAAACCACAATAGGAGAAATTGTGTACACAAGTTTTAGAGATATGATGAAGCCCACTTCCGATATTGGATTGTCAGAGGATCGATGATCACAGTTTGGGGCAATGTCTAAATATGTAAAAAGCACAGCGAGTTAAACATAATTATTCGTCCATTATAATAAATAAGTAATGGCTACACTACACTTGGAATCAATAATCCGTAGGTGGTAATAAATTGATCCCTATCTTCTCTTTAGAAAATCGTCTGTTAGGGCCAACATATTTATAACGTTTTACAACGGTACCGACTACATCGTTCAACATACAGGAAAGTCTCAATTTAGTGGACGAGCCGAAAAATTAAATGCACTACATATGACAGTCTTGTTCAACACGCTGATCGTACCCAAGCTAAGGTGATCACCTACTTACAGCACAGGGCAAGAAATAAGAAAACAGAATATAAATCTTTTTGGATTACCAATCAACTTTACTTACGAGACGCAACTTTCGACGACATCACCTCTATTGCAGAATTGAATGACGTCTAGTCCGTCACACTGGAAAAAATTGTATACCTCGACACCAGTTTGGTAGGACCTTTGTCTGCTCCCGGGGATACCTGGGGAATAATACAAATCCAAGCTCGTAATTCGATATCGTTACTTAAGGCCTCCTCTGTCGCTGCATCTCCAGCCGTTGTTGGTGTTATATATTTTTGATGCCGTGACACACATGAAGCTCTGAAGGCGAATTGGGTCGAGGAATATGGTTGGTATGATCCACAGGATAAAACTTCACTTCCATTTGATGCGACGGGACACGGAACTCACGTAACAAGGACGATCTGCGGCGCGGGAGGGATTGGCGTTTATCCGGATGCAAAGTGGATATCCTGCCGTAGCTGCGAAGGTCTGGAAGAAGTTACGTGTGCTATGTCTAACCCATTGAAGTAGAGCATATTGTATATCTAGAAGGCTGACTATATGGGAGCGATGTGTGCTGCTTCTGTAGCTACATTGCACCACTTCGAAAATGTGAGTGGAGACATGAATTACTAGCAGGTAATGATTAGTAGGTGGCGCTTATGGTTCTAGCTGGAAAACTTGTACTAGTTGTGAGAAATAATGAGACGGCAGGGGTACAACAAACATGATGTGTAAGGAATTTTACGGGAACTGAATTTTGACGCAGGATTTGTTTACAAAATAGTGGCTTGCATGAGATGATTAAAAAAAAAATTTTGAGCATAATCCTCGCACTTGAATTTTTCCCTAAATTTGTTCACATACTGATTGAACAGCCCCCTCAAAAAAATTTTTGCGTGACTCTTTTGTTTTGTAAAAAATCAAAAAATTTACACACAATTTAATGAATAACATTTCAAGATAATAGAAAATAATTTTAGTCGTATGTATCTAATTTTTGCTCATTCTTGTTAATGGTAGGTTATTTAATTTGATATAAATGCACATTATTAAATTATGTATGCGGAGGTATGTATGTATGTATGAATATATATATAACGTCCTTATCTTATCTAAATCAGTTTCCCTACACACACTTTTGAATTTTCACAAATGTTCACAACAAATTAACAATTTTATTGATTGGCAATTAATGTAAAGGAGCAAATCGCACGTGTCAACAGGAGTAGTCGAATCCCGCACTACTCACTTCAAACGCAGGAATCTCAACTCCTAAGAGTTCAGATTCCTGCCACTCCTGCCTGTGGTGGCCACCATTTATGGCAGGGATTTTTGTGTTCATCAACATAGGGAAACCAGGTGCTTGGTCTAACCTTATTGCTTGCGCATAGTTCATGGTTTGTCCCACAACGCCAGATGGAAGCGGAAAGGACTGCAGTAAAGCACCAGACATTAAGTTGAGGAGCGTCGCGAGGGTCTACATGGTATTTCACTTTTTTTGTTAAGCAAACAATAATAATTTAATCGTAATTTCCGTCTTGATCACCAGGTTCGATGCAAGCATTGCAGCACTACGGGTTGCAAATATTATTCCGATTTTCTCAATTGGCAACATTCACCATCCCGATATCGAACAAGTATGTGCTTCCAGCCAGTCACCTGGAAGTCACAGAGAGGTCATCGGAGTTGGCGCGACAACAGACCAGAATTTCAATTTCTTTCTTCTCCCTCTTTGGACCAGCAGTGGATGGTCGAATCAAACCAGATATTTCCGCTCCAGGTTTAAGCGTAGGGTCTGCAAGTCATACGGCAGATAATGAATATTTAATCGCGTCAGGCACGAGTATGGCGTCTCCGCCTTTTGCTGGACTTGCAGCTCTATTGTTAGCCTTTAAGCCATCATTGACTTACTTAGATATTGTGTACTACTTGACGCAGGGTGCTGAACGCAATTTAGTATTTTTGTGGTGGAATTCCGAGCAATCAGCTTTACAACAATATATTCGGTCAAGGGCGAATTAATGCATTCAAATCACTTCAACGAGTAATGGTTGACACTCCGTTCACATGCATGAGAGCCGGCACATTCGTCAATGCAGCTAATTGTCAAAAATACTACAAATGCATATTAATTGCTGGTAAATTGTATCCTTATGACTACACTTGCCCAACAGGTTCATATTTTAATATGGATACAAAAAAGTGCACTCTTGGAGCATGTCCGTAACCACATTTTGCAGAACAGACCATAACAAATTAAAGGATCAACAATAAATTGTACACAATTTCAAAATGTAGATAAACTAGGGTGGCTTACAGCCGTATTCTGAATCACTTTTTTGAGGGTGAGTGTTAATGGCGACTCACATTTGATATTCAGAATGAAAATTTTCTCCACTCACACGAGTGGAGAGTTTGGAAATGTGTGAGTGGCTCTTTGGGTTGAAAGGGTGAGTGACTCTTTCATGAGTTCTCCGTTTGGTATTCTCAGTGTAATTAGATTTTCTCCACTCACGAAATTTTCTCCACTCTCACTCACGTTCTCTAGTCACTCACGTAGGTACCTTTGCTTGGTAAATTTTCATAAATGAGCTAAAAATGTTTACTACTTGATATATTTCGACATGTTATTGTTCCTTCCTAAAAAAATTAAGGAAATTTGGAAATTTGGAAATGTCGAGTAAATTTTAACCAACTAGTTGTACTCATCACTTTTTTTACTCAACTTTGGGTGAATTTTGTACAATTTTTTTAGAGTGTGCATATTATTTGTACAAATTAGCGCAATACGATGGCTCTCTCCCATTTCCAAAATTTCGAAGAACTCCAAAACCGAAACCGTTTCAGTGTCCGAAAACTTCAAGATATGTCAAATCCGGTTGAATCCCTCTCGGAGCACCAATTTCATGCACGGTTTCGCCTCAGCAAAGACTTTATTTCAGGTTTGGAAACTACTTGAAGAAGAATTGCTTTTTTATGTGGTGTAACTGGAGGAAGTTTACTATGTACATGGGCTTCAAACTCTTGCTCAGTATCAGATTTATCCGATGATGACATTTTGAATATTTAAGAATTTAAACTGATAAAAACTAGTATAAAAAATATACACCAGAAAACTTCACTCTCAGCTGGACACTCACAAGTACTCCACTCACACTCACAAAACCTATCAGTACAGCTTTGCGGAGCCCGACCCAGGGATTATTATATAATGGTTGATAACATGTGTGAATTGACTTGATATTATTAGTCTATATTGTCTTTGGAACCATCATGCCGAATTTCAGTTCGATTGGAGGATTTTGAAAAATCGGTATGGGTAATCCCATACGGCCCCCTATTAAATATTTTTTCCAATTTCAATTCAGATTTATTCATTAGAAGTTGTTAGCATGGTATTTACCAAATTTCGCCTAGATCCGATGACTTTGAAAAATCGGTATGGACCACCCACTAGGGTCATTCTTAATGAACTTTTTTCTAATTTAAAGCGGTATTCTCCCATTAGTTGTCATTAGCGACATCCGCGTCAAATTTCAGCTCGATTGGAAGATTTTGAAAAATCGGTGGGGGTCACCCGATGGGGTCCCTCCGGTCGACAAATTTTCAAATTTTACTTCATATTTGGAGTTTCTACCTCCATTGGTGCAATATTGCTCAATTTCAGCCTTCTACGAGGATTTCGAATATTCTGCACCAATCTCCCCACCCGACCTACTCATATGGCCCCCACCGGTCAACCACTGGACCGATTTGGCTCATCTTCGAACTTGATTCCTATCTTTGTCCAGTATGCATATGGTGAAAATTTCAAGTCGATCGGTAATGTTTGAAGAGAGTTATCGTGATGACAGACGGACGGACGGACGGACAGACATAACGGGTACATAAGCCCTGGCTCGGGCTAAAAACTAGGAGACGTGTGCGAGACGTGGTGGTGTGAGGTTGCTCTCTCTCTTCGACTCTCTTCCTCCACTATAAGTGGGCGTATTTTATTAATTATTTAATTAAGATACGAATTGCTATTTTAATACTGTAACCCGTGCCACTGGTACTTGATCACTACCAGTGATACGGGTTGTGATCAAGTCCCACTTCGGGATTTAGCCCCGTCATGCCCTCTGGTTGACGGGTTTTCTTTTCATTTCCTCAACGAGGCTCTCGCCTCGCTCTCTTTCCATAATTCAGTCTAATACTCTCCTTGGAGCAACATCTTCCTTCTTCACATAATGTTAAGGCATATATTTAAGGTTGGATTTTGATTATTTAAAAGTTTCTAAATAAATAATAGTTCATAATAATTCAACCATTTGCTCCCAACATCACTACAATTATTCTCCATCCGAAAAGACAGGGAATTTCTTCGGAAAAGTAACCAGTTGGTGTAAAAGTGTGCATAATATCTTCACACTACGGAAAATCAAGTCGTTATTGCAGTACTTTCACCCATAATTTCCCCAATATATTAAATTACTACGAAATTACTGTTGTGACTTTTGCAGTTGTTTGGTAAACTTTAAAATAAGCTGGACTCGAATTATTACATTTAAGCTGGTGAGAAATCTTTCCTTGTAAAACTGTGAAAATGTAACCACGTAATTGTGCTAGAACTGTTGCATAATTGTGTAAGTTAATTGTTGTCAACCTACGTTGAGCCAGTTCGGTCATCCCTGACTTTCGTCGTCAAATAAGTCACAGTGCATTTTTAGGTGTGGTGGGGATGGGGACGCCTTGCCTTCCACATCTCGACCTCGAGGGGACGCCCAAAGGGTCACTTGCTGGGAACCATCGGGTCTCTGGGGACGCCTGGTCGCACCCATGGAATCTGGCATTCATCGTTTCTGACGGAAGCTGGGGGTGTAATATTCTGCTGTTAACTGTTACAGTTTTTGGAGTCTGATCTCAACATGTCTGGAATGCGAAACCTGACACCGTCTGCAGTTTTTTCTGTCAACGACCCAATCTGCTCTCATCTACGTATTAAGCATTGTATGTATTTAGCCTGTATTGGGATGCAGTGTGCTACTTGTGGATAATGCCCACAACTGGATATGTACATTACTTGATTATATCTGTGCAACTTGACTAAATGAGCAACTTCACATCACCACAATACGCTAAACTAAGAATCGCATATGTGTCATTACTAAATGCACACGTCTCCGGTTACAATGTTAGATATTGCGCTGTATTATTATAACATACTAAGAGCTTGTAGCCGTATGACAATTGTTATGTAAAGTGCTGATATTATTGTCACATATGAAAATGGTTATGCACATTGCTAAGATAATTGTAACTTATTAAATTGTTATGCAAAATGCTAAGATAATTGTCATTGTATTATGCATTTATATCAAGATGTGCCTATGTGGGCCTGTACCGGCCTTTAAAAAAGGCGAATAAAATAATTCAATTCAATTCACTCACAAAAACTACACTCTTACGAGTGGAGGTTGAATTTCATTGGGAATACCAAGTGGGTTGAGTGTAGAATCGACACTCACACTCAGCTAAGTGTGAGTGAGAGTGGCGATGTTTTCGTGATTCAGAATACGGATGTTAGAGAATTTGCTCAAACCTGTGGATGTTTTTTTATCATAGTTATCATAAACTATTTATCATTCCATCACATCTTTATTTTATACTCTTTAGTGCAGACAAATTTGTTTTCACAATCTTGAATGGCTACTGCTAAAGTTTTACTGATTTTCGTTAGAATGGACATGTTTGTCTATGTAGACGATGAATTAGAAATTCACATATTTATGAGTGAAAAATTAAAGGATGTTAAATTATTTGACTTATCCACGCTGATCTCGAGTTCTCCATTATTCTTCAAATTCGTCATCTTGTCCTTAGTCGGAAGGAATGCAGTTTTTTGGCAAATAGTAGTCTATCATTAATATGTAGGTAGATATCACATGTAGCTATAACGTTGTTTTTTTGCTAAGGAGTACATTTTTTACAGGTCAAAAAATCTGATGCCACATACATTAACGGACAGTTCTTAATACTTGTATTTCTTTATTCAGTAAAATTACACTATTTGCATACAAATATTACTGTATTATCATTATTGAAACGAACATTGAAGTATTTAAAAGTCAGTGAAGTCTACGAGGTGGACCATCGTGCATTTTTATTTGCCGTGGAGAATTGACTCAAAAATAAATTAAGACATTTTATTTGTATTTTACGGTAAGTTTATTTAACTAATATTATTACCATGATGGTCAAAAGTTAACGTAGATGTTTACTTACATAATTTACGACTTTAGTTCAATTAATAATTTTGAATTGCTAAATATTTATATATATATATATAATAATTTGTGTAATTAATATATCTCTCTAATCAAGACCTAATCGTTGCTAGTCCACTTCCAAAGAAACTATTTCTTCCGAATCAGGAATACCAATATTCTCCTCTTTAGCTTCGAAGAACGCAATCCCACTTTCACCTTCTTCTGTGTCCAAGTAATCGGAATTGTCGCCATCAGACTCACTCTCATCTCCAAATTGTATTCCCTTCTAATCAAATAATTCTTTAACCTTGGAAAAATATATCTGTCTATTATTCATTTTCGAGCAATTATATTTTCCCACAGATTCGAAAACCATTTTCATCCGTTTCAAATTCTCATCGCAAGCACAACTCAGAGCATCAATTATAGTTTCTAGAGCTTTATAAAGTTCTTCGTTAAGTTTGACCAGTGACTTTGGAATGTATGCTATTGCCATGCCATTTTATTCACTAATTCATCCAATTTCTCCGAAAATGACGAACTTTCTCCATATTTTAACATAAACATGAAGAAATATTTCGTGTTAAAATGGAAACTTGTCTTATATTTGACGTCTTCCTCGTCCTGATCCAACAAATTTTGAAGCCTGTCTGATAAATTGTTTTGTATCTCGACATACTGCTCAGGTCGATTAAATAATTTTAAACTCAGCTTAAACAATCGGAGACCGTCCAACGGATCAAATACAGATATGCGATCGGCAACTTTAATTAA